AGCCTTCTGAAATTGAATTCTTTCGAGTATTTGATTGACAGAATAAATTAGATAATACTGTAACAACAGCAGACAAGGCCCAAGCAACAGATCGTTTATTTACGAAATTAACAGATATTTATAGATTTTCATGTACATCATTATAGATTATTGTTAGCAGAAAAGCACAGTCTTCTGATTGGTGATTTCTCGCTTAACGTTAATCTTTCATCTCTTTGTGGTTATTTCTTGAATGTCAGATCATGTATCTGAAAATTGTATCCACCTACGCAAAGTCTGCTGTGATTATTTGTTGAATCAGTCTTTGTTCTTATTTTTTCACGACCAATATTGGGGACGTAAACACTGCTGTAAATTACTGTCCACCAATTTGGCTAGCAGCCAGCTCTCATCACAATACTACTGTCCTGCTCTTTAATAAAAGCTTCACTGATGCACTGAGATATATTTGTATTTTAAGAATAAACAGTAGCTGTATGAAAACTACACTATTCAGTCAATTATAGCTTTACTCACCGACATTTTATGTGATAATAGGACGTAATACAAGTTAAGGAATGCCGTTTTCAAGTAGTCATTGTAGAAGAATACACTTACGTACGATACACTTTTTTATTTTTTAAGTCTGCACGTCAGTATGATAGGTCACAAGAGGATAATCGCGCTTAGCAATATGTAATGATGTTGTATGACTCAAGTTAGAAATTCTGATAAATATAATTAGGACTAAGCAACAGACAAAGTGACTCTGATCAAGTAGTTGATTTGCGTGTTTAATCCAGTCTTATTGAAGGAAGAAAGTCATCGTCTAAATAAAAATGGTTGGTATTGAGTGATATAAGTTTGAGTCAAGAAGAGAACTTGATTTTCTTATGGCACTAGGACTATTAAGTTGCCTAAAGTGGTTCTCATTTGTTTTTTGAACTGGGATATAAAGGCATAAGCAATTCGTTAGCTGATAAATGTATTTCAGTTGAACATGGCAGGTTGTTTATATCATGTAACTCATTAAACTAACTGCCTATATCACCATATTGGCAAGTTATTTGAAAATATGTTTATTTTTTAAATGCCTGCCACTAGATATTTCTTTAATTATTTCCCTATAAATTCCAGATATTACCGATTCACACTGAAAATTAAAAGTTAAAGTAAGTTGATTTGTTGCCCAGTGCTCATTTCGCAAGAAACTTACTGTATTTCTCTGCATGGTAATAAATATCTGTTAGATTTTTAATAACATGAATTCTTATATAAAATATGGGAAAGTAGAAAATGTCCAAATTAACTTACTTAGTGACAGGCAGAACGGATGCAGATATCGTAGCCAGCCAGTCATAGTCAGAAAGGAAAGATACGCCTTCATCAACCTGAAACCAGTTTGGAAATCTTCCGCACTCAGCATAACGAACAAGGTTCGCATTTTCAACACCAGTGACAAGCTGATCCTTCTTCACTGGTCAGAAACTTGACCAGTGTGTCATGAAAAGGATTTCTAACAGGTTGCAGACTTTCATCATCAGCTGTATCCATAGTGAAGATCAAATGGCGAGCTGGCTAGCCAGCCAGAAAGAATTAGCAACAAGAAACTATGGGAACAAACCAACCAGGAGCCGATCGCTCAACAAATATATAATAGAAAATGAAGATGGATCATGCATAAATTGAGGAAACCATCGAATGACATAGCGCTCAGTACGGTCCATGGCTCGAGTGGAATCCAAATGGGGAGCGATGAGTGGATTGTCAGTGCGAGGGTGACATGGAGGAGGTCGTGTGAGGAAGAGATGAGAGTTTAGTCAATCGTGGACCCAGTTGCAGAAGATGGAAGAAAGTAGAACAAAGTGGAGATGTCTTGTTCAAGCTGTATGTCCCACTTGAAACCCAAGGGAACAATAATAATATAATATAGTGATATGTTTTATCAAGGTTAGGTAAAATGTTGATTTGGTTTAGAGTGGAATGAATCTCATGAATAATTGACGCAATAATAAAAGATGAGAGAAGGTTACTATCCTGTGCGTCGGTGGCACAGTGGTTAGGACTCTCGCCGACCATGCAAATGGTCTGGGGTTAGATCCCCTGACGACGCACACTTGATATCTATGGTCGGCCTGCAAAATTTGGGCTACCGATATCACATGCTGAAAATTCCTCAACTGTACCAAAAAGTAAGGAGTGGAATCAAGCTGTAATCAAGAAATAAAAAATAGATTATTTTGGGTTTTTGAGTAGAATTGACAAGAAGTAAGAATAGAAGGCTGATTTAAATGAGTGGCGATGTCATTTTAATTGTTTGGGAGGTAACTGGCCCGATTACTGTCCAGGACTTATTTGCATTTTACTTTAGAAATCTTTTGAAATATAAAAATAACTTCAAAGTAAAACGAAATTACAGAAGAATACAAACAAAGTCACCAAACTATCAATTGACTTTTTATATTCCTTTAGGTTTTTGAACTGCGTGTCAATAAAGTAGGAAAACTGACTGTTGTGAAGATCATCTCAAGCAATATACTAACTAGAAGGATGAGAGGAAAAATATACAAATATAAGATTAAAAATGCCCATTAAAATTTTCAAAAGAATGGATAGTGAACAAAGAGTACTCTTTTCGATAACTTCATCATCAGGCTCCACAGTTATATATACGTTATAGTGGATGAATGAATTAGAGTTGTGAACAACATTAATGTTGTTTAAATAACATAGAATCAGTGATACTGGTAGATTACAGCTCAATAGCCTCAACATAAAATAAGCTGAATGTCAGAAAATTTAGGAGAGGTAATATTTCAAATTAGTGAATTTCAAGTCTCTACTGAAGGCTGATCAGGGCAGTAGTAGGGGCTGGACTTGCTTCTTTTGAACACAGAGCACTGGTTGTTTGAGGCGAATTGCAATAACCTCTGGTGTTTGGAGTATGCGGTGCCTCGATGATTTTGGCAATTTATTAGGCACCCGGTATATTATAGAGAAGGATTCTTCAATCCTAGCTTCGTACACCAGATGGTCCAGTATTGAACTGTTGATGGTTTTAACCACACCTTTACTTAGCCATAGTGGGAGGTGTTCTCGAGCACGAAAAATCAAGTTCCTAGAGCTGTTATTATATAAACATTAATGTTGTTCATAACACTAATTCATTCATTCACTATGATGCATACATAACTGTAGGAATAAAACAATTCCAACAGTGGTGTGAACACGGGCAGTAATTTTGCTCGAAACATTACCAATAACAAAACTTATGATTGTGTGTAAACTATTGAAATATAATTATACTTTATTTGATCTAATCCACAATGCTCAAACTTTTTACTGATATTAACATAACTGTAGAGCCTGATGATGAAGTTATCGAAAAGGGTACTTTTTGTTCAGTATCCATTCTTTTGAAAATATAAAATTGTTAATTTTCTTCTAAATAAGAAAAAAAATATTGGAACATATCTACTTCGTCAAAAATCTAATCTGAATTATATGTCATGAAACCTCGTATCACTTAGATCGATTACCTCATAGATCTTTCTGAGGTTTCGTACTTTTCACATGTTGTATACGATTAACAGTCAAAGATTTTGTTAGTCAATTTATTTGACGCTGACTTACTTTCAACGTAATTTCACTTTAAATAATGTAAATGCTACAGAAAAGTGTAGAAGCCACCACCTTTGCAAACATTTTTTGCTCGGATAGAACAATCTATAGACGTCTATAGACGTACCACTTGCTCACTTATTCTGCCTTGTTTCTTAGCGCGTAGGGAAACAAGTGTCATAGGTGTTATGGAGGTGCTCACCTACGAATGAATCACCAACTCAATGTTTCATATGACGCATATATGAATTCACGGTGTGTTTAGAGCAAGAGTAATGATCAATGTGTGTGCGAATAAAACACCGAAACTCATGAAGTAATGAAACATGGCTGAAATAACATAATGCTGACAGTACATTCTGGGTGGGCTAACTTCTAGTCGTTTGGTGGTTGAGTTTGGCACCTAGCCAGTCTATCCATCATGAGATGTTGATGCTTTCACTCTTAAGGCTGCCGCAACACATATTTCCACTGATTTCATAACACTGATTTCATTCACTCCACACTACTAACAAGTAGTATAACAAGCAGCATTCAAAAAAACAACTAGACAACAAGCCTTTGATAAATTTCGATAGTGTTTTTAAGAGACGGAGATAATCTCCATCTTCTTCTAGTAAAACGAAATGCTGAACTAATTGATTAATTAATTAATTAATTATTCAATGCATTAAGATTTCACAGTTGTCAATATTCCTTCTTCACATTCTGTCGCCGTAACAATTGATAGCCTTTGATATTCTTCAATGTAGATTTGACCACAACTTGATAGGTGATTCATTCATTCATGCATTATCATTTGATGACTGAGTGGTTATCGTGCTCGACACGTAGCCTGAAGGTCGAACATCCTATGTCTTTTTTTTATTTCCTTCACGTTCCCAATGGAACATAGGGCTTCAAGCTAGAGGCTTTAAGTTTCTGTAGCAGTGTTTATTTTTACAGGATGAGGTTGCTAGCCGCATACCCAACCTTCCCTCTTTATTGGTCTTATTACTAGCTAAGTGAGGTAAAGGAGTGCATCGGCTGGAGATTGAACCCCGGACCATGTGCATGGTCGACTAGCATGCTAACCACTGTGCCGCCGACGCACACATCCTATGTCTAGTAGAATGATATGTGCACTCTGCTAATGAGTACAGGACTGGAGGGGAACAGCTGTCCAGTGAGTCTTCGACTGTTTGCCATCATCCAGTAATTGACTGAAGTATGATGATGAAACTGCAAGCTGCAATACAGGTAAACATAATATCATATGAAAGTGTTTGTCTTGATACAATAAATAAAATATTTTGAATTCATTTTTCGGATTTGTTAGAATTTCTCAGAAATTACAATTCTACTTTGCTTAGAATATTTTATCTTTTTATTCTTTTATATATTTTAAAGATTCAATCAAAATGGTTAAAAACAGAGTTGATGATAATTCTGACGAGGGTAGAAATGATGATGTTGTTAAGATGAAAAAAAGCATTGGTCTTGTTAATAGTATTACTATTATCATAGGCTCAATAATTGGTTCAGGAATATTTGTTAGTCCAACTGGTATATTAGAAAATGTACGAAGTATTGGTGCCAGTTTAATTATATGGGTTGGATGTGGACTATTCTCATTGATGGGAGCATATTGTTATGCTGAATTAGGTACAATGATTCATCGTTCTGGTGGTGATTACGCCTATGTTCTTGAAGCGTTTGGTTCATTTATGGGATTTCTACGCCTGTGGATTGAAGTTATGGTAGCTAGACCTGCTACACTAACTGTTGTTGCTTTAACATTCGCTAAGTATATTCTACAACCAATATTTCCTGACTGTACACAACCTGATACAATTTTACGATGTTTAGCAGCTGTATGTATAAGTAAGTAGTTTAAAGTAAACTTATAATTCTATATCTCCTTTCTACTTTATTTTTTATTCCTTCACGTTCCCAGTGGAACATAGGGCTTCAAGCTAGAGGCTTGAAGTTTCTGTAGCAGTGTTTATTTTTACAGGATGGAGTTGCTAGCCTCATGCCCAACTTTTCCTCTTTACGAGCTTTATTACTGGGTTAGCGAGGTAAAGGAATGTGTCGGTGGCCAGGGATCGAACCCCAGACCATGTGCATGTTCGGCGAGCGTCCTAACCGCTGTGCCATCAATAATTCCATATATACTTTGATTCTCGAAGTTCATGATAACAGATCTATAGTTATTGAGTTTAGTATTCAGCTAGTGGTTTTTAGGTTCCTACTTCTCTTCATCTGCTTAAAACTGAGAGGTCAAATGGTATCACCAACCTTCACGAGTGGAAACTGCGTCAAAACGTCCTAGCTAGTATACTGTGTGCTGAGAGAGCCAATGACATTACTTGTAGCAGTTTTCACTAGTAATATCCATGACTGTAGCACTGGACGATACGAATTCCAGTCTCTAAGAGGATATCGGTTCACTTCAGATTGCATTTACATTTTACTGAAAACTGTCAGTATGTACGAAACCCTCCAGTATATATTAAATAACATTTCATTTTCAAGTGACACGATTAATTTGAATTGAATTTTTTGACTTTCCCGTCGATTGATTGGACTGAAGTGCTCGGTCTCAGGTTGGCATGTCGGCTTCTTGTGCAGATGCTTCGACGATGTCTGAGGATTTGATTTGTATACAATTGGTGGATGGTGGTTATCAGTGGAATCCAGGATGCGCAAGAAGCCGACATGTCAACCTGAGACCGAGCAGTTCGGTCCAATCAATCGACGGGAAAGTCAAAAAATTCAATTCAATAATTAATATGACCCGCTGCACAAGAGGTGGCTCTCGTGGCCCAAGTGGTCTAGTGGATAACGCTTTGGTGTTTGAAACTATGGGCACTGGGTTCGAGCCTCGGTGGGAACATCATCACTCACTGAGAAATGCAGGTACATTCAGATGACGAGTCCCAAATAGGACGAAATGCGCATCCTGGATTCCACTGCTAACCACCATCCACCAATTGTATACGATTAATTTCTCTAAATTGCTATTTTTTTTAGTGGGAGATGTTATTTTATTAGATTCATCACAATATAGAAGAGATTCAGGATTTCCATTTTTTTTTAAAAATTAGACAAGCAATTTGTGATTCACTATTACATTATGGATACCTGTCATGTAAATGTTGATGACAGTTTTTGATATAAGAATAAAACTTGTGCACTGTGGTAGAATATAATTCTATTATGGGTAAAATTTTGTTTTTGATAAAGTCTCACTGTGTTATACAGAAATATTTACTGATGACATTTCGAGCACAATTTATTGCTGCTCATAATTACATCAAGGTACTCACACAACTTTCTAACTTCGTGTATGTAATTCCACTACTTGTCATCGGTTGACTTGATTGGTAGTAGTATTTCCCATATTTCTGGTATGAGTGATAAATCATTCCTATTGCACGTGTTGGGTGTGGACTCGTTGAACAAGGATTCAGTAATCAACCTCTCTCTCCACCCACCTATATTACTTTTTAGAATTTTAACCTTCTCCCACCCTATTGTATGGTTGTGTGTTAATGTATGTAGTGCAAACGCTGAGCCTTTTTCTAAATTACATATCTTCTTGGGGTCAACCATTCTTACCTTAGCCAAATTCTTATGTTCCGACAATCTGACTGACCCCAACCTACTAGTTTGACCGATGTAGTTGACTTAACTCACAGCCACTGCAAGGTATTTTGTAAATTATATTATTTTGTTTAATTGGGTCAACCTACTGGGTCTTTTAGCCTACAGAGTTTGTCCCTGAGTAAGTTCGTAGGCTTAAATGCCACCCTAATTTCTGCTTTATTAAGAATCCTACGTAGGGTCTCAGATGTTGCCTCCTTATGAAAAATACCACTACCAATCAAGTCAAGCGATGACAAGTAGTGGAATTACATAAACGAAGTTAGAAAGTCTTGTGAGTACCTTGATATGATTATGGGCAGCATTGAATTGTGCTTGAAGCGTCGTCAATAAATGTTACTTTATAACACTGTGAGACTTTCTCAGAAATAAATTTTACCCATAATGAAACACTATGGAAGTTTATTCACATTTTTCCATACTTAAGATGATAGCTGACTGTATCATTTAATTATATACTGATTTGTTATATATATTTACTTGGGAAAGCTTTCCCCTCTAGTACTATTAATTGCGTAGAAGCCTATAATGAGTTACCTTCTGAATTATGTCATTTTACTCTGATGTGTGATACTCATATTTGTTATACGACTTATCAATTCATGTGATATAGTGAAAACATCAGTACAACACCATACGATAAAGACTAGAAATTAATTGTTGACTATCTCATCTGATAAACTAGTTGACTTTCATAACTTGTAAAACTACTGTCACTAGAGTTGAAAAGAAGCACAGTTACCACTTCACTTCACACAGTGAATTAATGGTAGTTATCATTATTTGTTTTACTTTTTCGTTGCTTCTTAGTTATTCTTGGATTTATAAACTCTGCTTCTGTACGTTGGTCTACACGTGTACAGGATATTTTCACTTATGCAAAAGTGACAGCTTTAATATTGATTATTGTCACAGGAATTGTAGAAATTTGTCGTGGTAAGTCAACATGTATATGTTTAAATATAATGTAATATTGTGATGAGAGCTGGCTGCTAGCCAAATTGGTAGACAGTAATTTACGTCAATGTTTACGTCCCCAATATTGGTCGTGAGAAAAATATCAACAAAGACTGACTGAACAACCAATCACAGAAGACTTTGCGTAGGTGGATATAATTAGCAGATAGATGATCTGACATTCAAGAAACAGCCACAAAGAGATGAAAGATTAACGTTCAGCTAGGAACCACCAATTAGAAGGTTGTGTTTGTTTGCTAACAATAATCCATCATAATGTACATGAAATTCTATAAATATGTGTTGGTTTCCTTAATAACGGATGCGTTGCCTGGTGCTTGTCTTCTGTTGTTACAATATTATTATTGTTGTTCCCTTGGGTTCCGAGTAGGCAACAGCGCTTCTACAATAGTTCATCATCTATCCCTACTGTCTGCATTGAGCTTTGGGTGGCTCATTTTCATCACTTCCATCTTCTCAATGTCCACTTTAAGCCTTGTCTTCACCGTTTCTTCTGAAAACTTGTCGGTTGTTGCCTTTAAATCCTCGAGTACTTGTGATATAGACATAAATCCTCCATGAAGTTCGGATCTTCTAGAGTTTTTTATTGGTCCAACATGTTGTATATATATATATATATATATATATATATATGTATATACATTTATGTATCATATACAACAAATTATCTGTTACGACTAAAACCGACTCGTTATAGTCTGAATGCAGGAAACCAATCTTTATTTTATTTTTATTTTTGATTACAGCTTGATTCCATACTGTATTTTTGGTACAAGCGTGGAATTTTCAGCATGGATATCGGTAGCCCAAATTTTGCAGGCCGACCATAGATATCAGGTGTTCGTCGCAGGGGATTGAACCTCGGACCATTTGCATGGTCGGCGAGAGTCCTAACCACTGTGCCACCGACGCACATTCTCTGCGTTACTTAAGAACAAAATATTATTCGTTATTATTAGCAGAGAAACAACGTCTTCTGATTGGTCGCTTTCTCACTAGAAGTTAATCTGTAATCTCTTTGTGATCAGTTCTTTGAAGGTCAGACCACCTAGTTGTGAATCGCTATCGCCCACGCAAAGTTTGTTGTGATTGGTTGTTGAGTTAGTCTTTGTTCTTGTTTTTTTCTCATGACCCCGATTTGGGACCTAAACATTGAAGTAAATTGCTGTCTACCAATTCTGGCTAGCAGAGAGCTCTCACCACACTCATCCTGTAAACTGACAGTCATATATGTATATGTCTGTACCCTGTTCTCTGTGATTCTGTGTCGTATGCATATTTCGTAAATGTGATGATGTAACAGCAGAACACAGTAATATGTGGTATCGGAATTGTTTATTGACAAATTGATGCACAGCTGTGACATAAAAGCGAGCAATACAATTTCAACTAAATCTTTTGATTGGACATTAGTAACTAGTGTGACGTGTTTAGTCCTTTCTTCGGTGCAGACAGAATTCTATCGGTCAGCTTTTTGCAATGTGGCCACCATTCTAGGTAGTTCGCCATCACGATGCACATTGATTTGATGATATATTAGGTAGAAGTGACATGAGTTGCTTCAAGGTTGCAGATACGCCTTGCTGATGAGTGCCAACTAGTACGAAACCTAGGTCCAAGGCTTACTGCCGATTGCCTCCAACTAATATATCAACTAAATCTTCTTCAAACCTTTCTTTAATGTTCATAGCTTTATATTATAAGAACTAAACTAATGGCAGTGAATTTGCTGGTCAAAAGTATTTTTGCTCTTATTATAAACATAGTTACTATTGGCATTCACAACACTTAACACTTATTATTTTTGATTTAGAAGCTCACTATCACTTCTTACATTTTTATAAATAAAGCTATGTATGTGTGTTAGTGTATGGCCCGAAGAAGATCTAATTAAAAATATTATTGTTCGCTTATTTCTAGTTTTAAATACGTACTCCTTACATAAAAATTACCATTTGCACACGTTCTCTTCATTTCGTGATATTTTTTTTGCCTTTTTGTGTTTTCCATATTGTTTAAAAAGGATCTTTCATTACTCTTCCTCGAAATTTAATTCATTCCTCTGCTATTTAATATTAATGATAAAGACATCACATGCTATATACTACTTACAAAATCTTGTTAGTAGCGTTTGCCACCCTGATTCAGCTTGATTATTTGACAACGTTTTTCCCATTTCACAGTCATTATTTTATTGATTGGTGGATTTCTACAAGAACATTACAATAAGTTAATCCAATAAGTATTAGAGGTTGCGTCGGGTTATTTGTGGACTGACTAAGAGAAATTAACTAAAAAGTTAATCTCTGCTTTTTCAACGTTGAAAATCATACTAGAATATATTTGTGATTTCTAAATTATAAATCAACAAATCCACAATTCAAGTGTTGGTTTGTAGGGATTTGATTGGTTACTGGATTTCATCATGAAGTGAGATTAGTTAGAGAGCCATTGGAAAACCTAGGAGTACTGGACAGCTGTTTCGTCATAATTTGGGACTCTTCAGCACTACTCACCCACCGCCGGGATTCGAACCCAGGAACTTCTGGTTACAAGGCCAGCGAGCTCGTATACCATTAAGCCACTGGGACCTGATCCAATGTCCAACCCATGAATTCTAACTTCTGCCAATTCACGACATAGCGCGACCTCTAGCCAATGTCTTCGGAGAGTATTTGTCCTCACACCCGACCTGCTGCACCCTACTGGTCATGACTTCGCACCAGCGACTTGCCCTATTCAGGTAGGTAGTTGCCTGCCAAAAATATGCCTGTGCATTGGGTTCAATATGGAAATACGGTAGGAACTCAACTGAAGACCGAACAGCAAATACTGATCACTAGATACCTTCTGCTACATGTGCCCATATAAAATACAGAGGACAGTCTGGCGTGAGTCAGTGAGACAAAATACTTTATTTATATGTAAACTAGTTAAATAACTAATTCGATTGACTGGTTGTCCTTTCACATTATAATTCATCTCCATCAGCCTAATAGTTTGGGCAAGTTTTCGCCTTTGTAGATTCTAGCCTGCCAAATGCAATTATTATAAGATTATACAACATTAAATGTATACAACATGTACTTAATATGTGTCGCTAAATCATCTAAAATTTCTGCTTCGATTTAAATTAACAAATAAAAAGCATAAAGTTTATATAAAGACTGATCAAAAACTGACTTCAATTAGAGAAACACTACAGACCAGGAAGCCCTGTACATCTGTTTCGTCCCTGTTTGAGGCTCTTCGACACTGCACCTCCATGAACTCACTAGGAATCATGTACAAAACCTTTAGTTTACAAGGCAAACTCGTTGACCACTGAAACACTCGGACCAAATACGATGGCCTACCAGTTTTAATTTCTGCCAATTTGTGATATATATATATATATATTTATAGCTTGGTCACCAGCTACTATAGTCGGTGAGTATTTGTCCTCAAAACAAACTTGGTGGACCCTATTGAACATGACTTCGCACCACTTTTAAAGTGAGATCAGTCTTAAAAGCAATCAGCCTCCTTCATAGCAACACTTAAAAAAATATGACTTATTGATTATTGGATTATGCGTCAGACAGTGGGAAACGAGAAGACAGGGATATCCTGGACCGACGTGAAGAACCTAGAAGACCAGGATATCGCGCGTGGATGATTTGTGCTTGATGTCACACAAAATCGAAGACTTACAAGCGAAAACCGATAAACTGGTCGAAGAAGCAGCCAGTGAAGACAAGACTCCAGGTGAACATAGACAAGACGGAGGTTATGAAGATAACCAACCAACCAATCAACAACAACAGCAGCAACATCCAGCGCCAACCACCATCAACGGGAGGAATTTGAAAGAGGCTCACTTATCTAGGAAGCGTCGTCTCAACCGACTACAGGGGGAACGGACGAGGATGTCTAATCGAGCGAGAATCGGGAAGGCGAGAAACACAATCATCAACCTGAAACCAATCTGAAAATCTTCGTCACTCAACTCAGCATCAACAACAAAATTCGGTCGGATTGTCAATACAAACGTCAAGTCAGCCAGTTCCTCTATACGGATCAGAAACTTGGTGGGCGGGTCGCAAAGAATATTTTCAACAGCCAATTGCAGACCTTCATCAACAACTATCTTCGCTCTATACTGAAGATCATATGGCCGGGCCGGAAAGAATCACCAACAAGAAACTAAGGGAACAAACAAACAAAACAAGAACCAATCGCCAACCAACAAATATGCAGGAGATGGAGTGGAGATGGATTGGACACTCGCTGAGGGGGCGGCTGGGTGACATCGCGCGTCTGGCCATTGCTCGAGTAGAACCAGGCCGAAAGGGAAGCGGCGAGTTGGTCGTCAGTGCAAGGGTGACATGGAGGAGATCGTGTGAAGAGGAGTTGAAACAGTATGGACTAACATGGATGCAGGTGAAAAGCACAGAAGAAGACAGAAGTGGCAAGTGGAGACGTGCAGTTGAAGCCCTATGTTCTACTAGGCACCCAAGGGAACAATAATAATAATTGCTGATTAAGCCTCGGTGTTTTAAGTGTTCGTAATCTAAACTGTTAAAGCAAATTCTGCAACGATTAATTAGCTTATAGGTTTTTCTGCAGACAATAACCATTTTTTATTATAAATTATTTAAATTAATCCCAGCGTGTTAAGAAAATCAAAACAAGATTTTTCTGAACTTTTCGCCGTGTAAGCCACAGCTTCTTCGGCAGATTTATGATAAATCTTGTTTTGATTTTCTTAACACGCTGGGATTAATTTAAATAATTTATAATGAATCAATCTGACTCGGCGCTTAAATTATTCCAGGAAATAACCATTTTTGTTGAAAATTAATTATAGAAAATTAAGTTTATATGATTAATAAATGAATCATTTTCATAATATAATAAGGAAGTGTTCATTGTAAATGAAATGTATTCATCCACTGTCCATCTTCTATATTATGAATTAGTCTTCATTTGAATATTCGTTTCATTTGAATACTTTTATTAGGGGATTACAGTACCATTATATCTCCTCTTCCTTATTTTTGTGTTCTCTTTTACTATAGGACAACTGCAACTGTTACATTTCTGAATAAGATTACATGAGGATCTGTCTATCACTTTGAAACTATTTGATTTCCTGTGGTTTACTTTAAATCACTTTATATTTATTTGTTTTTGCTGTTTTCTTTAAACTAAAGGTCACGTTGACGAATTCCGAGAACCATTTGGAGGCTCTAACTGGGATCCAGGAAGTATTGCCAAGGCTTTCTATTCCGGTTTATTCGCATATGCTGGTTGGAATTATTTAAATTGTATGATTGAAGAATTAAAAAATCCTAGACGTGATTTACCATTTGCAATTGTATTCTCATGTCTTGCCGTGACTGTTATCTATTCACTGGCTAATATTGCCTATATCACAGTGGTTCCAGTTAGTGAAGTCTTGACCACACCAGCTGTAGCTGTGGTAAGATGCTCCATTTGAAATATTTATGACACTTTTGTCAATCATATTGATTGTAAAAATGTAAAATATGTGCGTCGGTGGCACAGCGGTTAGGACACTCGCTGACCATACATATAGCCCGGGGTTCGATTGCCGACTGAAGCACACCTGATATCCACGATCGGCCTGCTAAATTTGGGCCACCGATATCACATGCTGAAAGTTCCACAGTTCTACCAAAATATTCTGTGGTATTGAGCTACAATAAATTTAAAAAATAAAAAATAGGAAATAAGAACGCAGCGAGTTAATACGTGTGTACTTCTTGATATTTCTCTGGTAAATTTTCATCAAAAATGATTAATAACCATGCTAACATCGTCTACTCAGCTAAACTGATAAAGGAAACAGTGTGGAACATTTTACAAAAGTGTACTATATCGAACTGTGATGCTTCGAGGGAAAGAAAAACAAAATTGGCGAAAGGAATATTACGAAAGTACAGTGGACTATGAAATACAGAAGAGAGAATAATTGGATTCAGATCTGTGGGTAATTTCGAAATCTATAGGTATAGAGGAAAGGAATGAATTTACACCATTGTGAGTGGTATTTAATCATGTAGCAGATGGCCTTTAATCATTGATTCTTAACATTTTTTATATCCTAGTTGTATAATAATTATCATCTCAAAACGGATTCAGGGATCTCTTACTACTGAAGGTGCTATAAAGTAATGAATGCCCTATTGAGTCTACTTGTACTATGCTGTTAATAAATTCATTTCATAATACACTTTCGTACCTTATGGTATCTGAGGTTTTTTTGTGTAAATCAAAATTAGGCTGTCATAAAAAGCTGAGGTAAGTAGGAAATATGATGAAAAGAATTCCTAAGTTAGTATATGGTTTTCATGCATGAAGATGACAGCGGCATGGAAGTACACAGATAATTGCCACATAATAGGACGATTAGAATATGAAGTAAAGCATGCTTTTTTGATCTGTCAAGATGCAAATTAGTTTTGTAACAACAGAAGACAAAGGCCAGGGAAACAGATCGTTTATTAAGGAAATCAACACATATTTATATAGATTTCCATGTACATTATTATAGATTATTGTTAGCAGAAAAACACAGTCTTCTGATTGGTTGTTTCTCACAAAAAGTTAATCATTCATCTCTTTGTGGCTGTTTCTTGAAGGTCAGATCACCTAAATGATAATTTTATCCGTCTACGCAAAGTCTTCTGTGACTGGTTGTTGAATCACGACCGATATTGAGGACGTAAACATTGACATAAATTACTGTCTACCAATCTGGTTAGCAGTCAGCTCTAACCACAGTTTCAAAGGATTAAATCAGCTTTAGAATTCAATACATTTTTTCTCTGTAAAAAGTTTATATAGGTAGATGTTTAAACGCTGTCAAAGTAGTGGCAGAGAATACTTCATGTTGTTCGGTTTTTGTCAGAGACAATATATATGCTAATCATGATCGCTTCTAACTTTCTAAAGATATTTGTGTAGATAGAAAATTCAAGAAATTTCTGTTCCACTTCTTGTCAGGGTACCTTGAAATCTGTTACTGGAATATTTCTAAAGACTTCACATCTTCCTGTTTCTTCTTCTTCTTCTTCAGTTCTATTATTCAAATCATTTAGTTAAACTAGGATGACATTTTTTGGTTTTTATTTACATAATTTGATTTGATATGTGATGAGAAAAATTGCCTTTAAATTCGTTTTATGCTTTGTCTTCGTATGCCTATGTGAAGCCATATTGATATCCTATTGGTTGTTTATAACCCGGTTCTTTCAATCTTTCATGGTTGTCCTGTAGTTCTTCTCTCTTGTTTTCATGCACTGATATTATTATCTGGTGTTTTAGTAAATAGATTTTTAAAATAAGAATAAATATTATAAACCATAATATACTCATTTTATTTAGTTGATTACAAACGGCAGTGGAATCAAGAACGCCTGTTTGATCTTCTCTAGGACTTATCGGCTTGATATACCTGAATTCCAGCAGTGTGCGTCGGTGGTACAGTGGTTACGACTCTCGCCGACCACGTACATGGTCTGGGGTTCGATCCTCTGCCGACTCACACCAGATATGTATGGTCGACCTGCAAAATTTGGGCTACCGATATCACATGCTGAAAATTCCATACTTGTACCGAAAATACGGTGTGGAATCAAGCTGTAATCAAAATCGAAGAAAAAATCAAAAAAATCAAATCACCCACTGTTTTGAATGCTAAAGCGTTATCCGTTAGGCCGTTGGATGCAGGTGTATATTGCTGACTAGTATGAAACGTGAGTCCTAGATTTCACCGGTAGCCACCACCAGTCATATGGCATCATATCAATCTTCAGATATCGTCGAAGTTTTGTACTAGAAGCTGATATGTCAACACAGACTAACTATTTCAGGTCCAATAAAAATCAGCCAGTGGAAGCTACAAAATATAGGCAAATGTTGGATCATCGTATCCACGTACTCTATTCAATAAGTAATAACAGTGATGCAAGTATTGCGTGATAATCAATTACTCAGTTTCTTTAATTGATACAGTTATTGTTATTCTAAAGCCCTACTTACTTCAATGAATTATAATTAAATGATCACGAAGATTAGAAGGGAATAGTAATAGAATAACAATTTTCTGATTATATATAACTTAAAAAAGAAGGTGTGGTTAAAATAAAAGGTGGGTGATCAGCTTCAGTTGAGAAGTCCATTCATTAAGATTTAATCTCTTGGTGTAGGGTTATAATCATTACTACAGCTGAAAAAATGTTATATATCACCTATAATTGATTTGCATGACTTAATTAATTGGACTCCCTTACTATCAGGGTGAGAACCTTTTGAAGAATTAGTGAAAATTTTGCTTTTCGAAAGCATAAAATACAACCAACTCATTGTTTTCTATAAATTAGTGAATTACAATTACTTCAAAATTATTAAATGGATTATAATCCAATTTATTATAAATTTAAACTGTCATTGTATAAAATTACTGAATATTTTTATACTGGTGTATAATACATCATTACTGTTGTAATTTAGCCTCGAGTATTTTAATTTTGTCTACTTCCTATCATCCGTACATAGTCTCATAGGCGTAAATCTTAACAGCTAAATGAAACATTTTCAAAATTTTCAATTTAATTGTATTATTGATGACACCATTCAAGTTTAGATATGATAGAGAAGATTTGTAGCTCAGGTGGATGATTTTGATGTGGCTTTGTTCTCTGAGCTGGATGGTTAGTTTGCGAAGCTTTCAAGTTTGCCCATTTCTTTTCATTCCTTTACGTTTGAAGTGGAGCAGAGGCCCTCAACTTGGAGCTTTTAAGCTTCACTAGCGTGGTGGTGTTGTTCTTATAGACAGGAGTTGCCAGCAACATGACCTACATTCCCTCCTTACTGGATTTATTACTGATTATGTGAGGTTTAGGAGCAAGTTGGCTTGTAATCAAACACTGACCATGTGCGTATTTGGCTAGCATTCTACCAGTGAACCACAGACGCACCAAATTAGATGCCATTGAGGCTAAGTGGGTTATATTACCATTCTATCTGTCTGTTTTCGACATAGAACTTTGCACCGATGTGCACCAGTTCAAGTCGCCACACTCCATGTAGCACACAAAGCAACAGAAGAAAGTAGAAGAAATTCATAATAGAGACAGTAAACAGAGGTGTGTGACGAAGGAATAGTAATAACGAAGAACAATATGGTTTCATTGGAAATCATAAGTTACAAAGAGTGGATGCATCTGTGCCATTGAGAACCATTTTGAGCCATATCACCATTTGTTTCCAATTACTGGTTTTTACCGTGCCAAGGACACCACCCGGACAGCCTGTCTACACATTCCTACGTGGCTGGCTGGCTTAAACTAACTGCTGTAGATTTTCATTGACTGGTGCCATGTTTTGGTTTGACCGCCGCTAGCTCTTTTCCAACCTGACACTATGTCAGCTAACATTGGCTGTCGGTCGACGGAGGCGATGACTAGGCATCCGTAACACATGTCTCAACCATCTCAGTCGATGTAATTTCACAGCCTCGTCGATTGATTTCCCCTCCTTACCTAGCACCCGATCTATGCCTCACCTCAATATTGCTCACCTTATTATACCACTTCCCACGGGAGATAAAGCGCAGGCACCTATGATCAAAGACAGCTAGCCAGCCTTTTCATATCTTCCAATCTCAATGGCCAGGTTTCACAGCCATAAAGGAGGACGGAGTGGACTGATGAGCAGTACACTCGCCCTTTGGTTGAAAGCCGGATATCACGTCTACGCCAGAGACGGCGTTAACTGGCATATGCGAAACTAGCCCTCTGTATCCATGCTGAGATTTCGTCAGAGATCAACCCGTTGGCACTGGCTGATGGTACTTCCCAAATAATTGAAGTGGTCAACGTGCTCAACCACTGCACTCCCTATTTCTAAACTAGGAGTCAGTGTAGTCTAGTCCTCTACCATCATATTAAATTTGGTGGGATCGAATCGCATGCCAAACATTCGTAGATTGCGGCTCAAGGTGTTCAGATGACTCTGCATTTCGTCAGCGTCCTCGCCTAGAAGGACTATATCGTCAGCATATTCTAAGTCAACGAGATTATTCCCTGGTAGCAAGAAAAATGACACTATAATTAGCTCCCAGGATAGACGATTGGAAGACGATCACCATTATATAAACGTATGAGTTCGCATATTCTTGAATAACCACCATTTACTAAAGTATACCGAGAAATTGACAGCCATAGGCTTGGTTCCACATGGGGTACAGAGTGTGAACCGCTAAGAAGTTCCAAGATATGGTGGGAACAGTTTTCCGTTTTAAAATAGTTCTCTAACCGTTTTTATTTGGTTTTAAAAAAGAACCTTAATAGTCCCTTTATCATTTAGAAAAGAAGCGATGAACAGACGATAAAGTACTGACTAATAAGCTCTTGAGATTGATTGTTATTACCAGGTAAACTATATTTGTGTACATTCATATAAGAATAGAACTTGGGCAATGTGGTCGAGTAGAAACCCACCATAGAATGTATTTAGTGCATGAATTCTCACTGATAAAATTCATTGTGCATTTTTTTTCATACTTTGCTTACCGAATTAGTTTGAAGTAAAATTATGCGAAAATTTTCTAATCGAAAATAAATTTATTTGCTTTGTTTTGTTCTTCTACCCACTAAGACTTTTGCCAATAAAATGTATGGTCCAGCCTGGTGGATAATGCCAATATTTGTAGCTTTTTCAACATTTGGTGGAGTTAACGGAAACTTACTAACTACATCGAGAATATTTTTTGTCGCTAGTCGTGAAGCACACATGCCTAAAGTTATATCTTTTCTACACACGGATAGATTAACCCCAATACCAGCCGTTTTATTCACTGTAAGTGTTATATATATATATATATATATATATGTATATACTAAGTTTTCAATAAATCATTTGAATACATTTTTTATTGTTCGATTTCAGTTGTAATTTCATAAAATCAGTCTTCACTTCATGAATAACCTTTATTCAAACATTAATGGGAACAAAACATATAGTTCAGAGAAGTCTTTTTCGGCGAATTTATTCACTTAGCTGCACAATCTCTGTGGGCATACTAACTTTTTTTGATTGCTACTGGTAACTAATGTAAAGTGTCTTGTCCTAGTGTTCTCTGAGCTGGTTGGTTTAGTTGCGAAGCTTTCGTCGTCCCCCTGCTGGACAACATACCGCCTCAGCGCAATATTTAGCATAAAGTGTAGTGATTTAAATTTTTCATGAGTGATAGAATTGCGGCGTCGGTGGCATAGCGGTTAGGACGCTCGCCGACCATGCACATGGTCCGGGGTTCGATCCCCGGCCACCGACCCACTCCTCAACCTCGCTGTGTCAGAAATAATGCTGGTAAAGAGGAAAGGTTGGGTTTGAGGCTAGCAACCCCATCCTGTAAAATAAACACCGCTACAGAAACTTCAAACCACTAGCTTGAAGCCACCCTATGTTCCACTGGGAACGTGAAGGAAGAAAAAAAAGATAGAATTGCGTCTCCCGGTAACCATCTTTATATATGTATTGATCAATTTCTATTGACTTGGATTTTAAACTTTTTGGTCACATGATTTAATATTTATTAGTTGGTCTATTTGGTCCATATCAACGTGTTTGTTAATTGCTTATTCGTTTGAGTACCAAGCTTCCAGGAATTCCCTGGCACTTTTGGTGTTTTCTCTGTCTAAGATTTCGACATTATCCCAATCAAACTAATGTCCATAATTTTCTACATGCATTGATACTAGACAACATATATCGTGTCTTTTCACGGCTGATTTGTGTTCTTGGATTCTAATTCGAAGGGGACGCCCACTTTGGCTGATGTAATGCCTGTTACAGTTCAACCATCTAATACCAACAATTCACAGTGCACTGTAATGGCGAGCCACCTAGCATGGTAGCCACATTGCAAGCTTGACTGATAGAATTAAGTCTGGAGCGAAGATAGGACTAGACACATTACACTAGTTACTAGTGTGCAATCAAAAATATCCAATACAGTCGTACAGGAGGTCAATCGCGAGTCTGAACAGCGCAGTGGTAACGTCTCTGACTGCAGGCAGCACTGGGTGACGTGGGTTCGAATTTCAGAAGGGACATGAGTTCCTTCAAGGTGGCACATACGCCTTGCTGACCGGTGAGTGCCAACTAGCACGAAACCCAGGTCCAAGCTTCCTTCCAATTGCATTCAAATATCTAATACACTAACTTTGTCAGACAAGAATAAAAATTAGCTAGGGTTGTTGTTTACCTCATCAAAATATTTCAAAAACGTGATGAATAATCAAATTGTAATTTGACGAGGGGGGGGGGAGAAGGGTGATGTTTAGTATGAGGGTATTGGTGATGAGTAGTCAAAAAATAGTTCTCAATGTTAGTCAATGCATAAGACAGGTCGAATAACTGTTCTCTGCTTGTGTAATAAGATGAATAATTTAATGAGTAAATTTTTAATTAGTATGTACATAGAAACGAAGGGAAATAGGGAATTATGTAAGAGTTGTGAAGAAACTGCAAGGGTTATAAGGAGTTAGAAAAAGGAAGCACACAAACATCAAGTCAGTAGGAATCCATACGGTTGTTGCTATGACAAAATAAGTGGTTGAATGATTTTCTTTTGTATACATAACTCTGGTATTTTTCAATTTTCACTGACTGAGTGTGTCAAGAAGAAGTAAAACTCTGGATTTCATCATGAGCCAAAGTCGGTTATGAAACTACTGAGAGTACCGGATATCTGTTTCATCCTACTTTGGAACTATTCATCAGTACGCAACCACCACAGGGGTTCGAATCCAGGACCTTCCGGTTACAAGGTAAGCCAGCAGAACACTAAGCTACTGGGACCAGATCCAGTGGTCAGCCCATGAATTACAACTTCTGCCAATTCACTTCATAGTCTTACCGCTAGCCATTGTCATCAAGGGCGATTATTTGTCGTCACACCTGACCCATTTTACCCTACTGGTGACAACTGGATTTACCTGGTTCAGAAACGATTCAGTATTGACACTGAGCTAATGACCAACAAATTTAGATGAAAAAGCAAAAATCAAAGCGCATCATTCATCACTGATGTGGGCGGTTGATAGTTCATCACCAGCCTCATTTACCAAAATAGATAAAAGGTGTGTTTCCTATGGATATACAGAGAGCACAAGCGCACTTACTCACTTAATTTTTGATTCAGTTATTCTATATAACACACTCTTCGCTTATCTGCAGATCGCAAACTAGCTTCTGTAATTTTGCAGATACAGATGTAGCAGTAATTAGATGAGGGATGGATGCGACACACACAATAAGGACTGGTCCTAATTGGAAAAGACAAGTGGGTTATCCAACGGTGACAATGAGGAGATTCGGTAAGGAGAAAACGAAAGCTTAGGGACAATTGTGAAGCCATAGAAAGAGGACTTCAGAAGACAGAGTGGAGTATTAATGTCATTCTGAAGCCCTATGTTCCACATGGAGCCCAAGAAAACAATAATAATAATAAACAGTAATTAGATAACAAGATATTCACCCATATACCTACACTTTAATATCTATGTTATCTTTACACATCAGACATTTTTAATTAACAATCAGCCTGTTGAGAGACAAGAATCGGTTGCTCCTAGTGTTTTTATAGACTACTGAAGTTCAGGAGTAATAAATCATAAGAACCTCAGTATTTTCTCTACAAATTAATGAATCAACAAAAATTACTGAGAATTAGGAAACATTTTGGTGTTCGGGAGAACCGATAACAGATATTCTACTATAGAAAAACCTAGAAGAATTAATAAACACCTCTGAGAATTGTAAGATGACGACTAAGTGGATGTTTTGATGGTATTAGATCTTCACTAGCTTATTAACTGGTGTAGGCGTCTGTGGCACAGTGGTTAGGACGCTCGCCGACCATGCACATGGTCCGGAGTTCGATCCCAGGCCGACGAACTCCTTTACCTCGCTGAGCCAGAAATAATGCTGGTAAAGAGGAAAAGTTGGGTATGAGGCTAGCAACCCTACCCTGTAAAATAAACACCGCTACAGAAACTTCAAGCCACTAGCTTGAAGCCCTATATTCCACTGAAAACGTGAAGGAAAATTTATTATTAACTAATGTCGTTTCTTTTTTCATAAATTCCGCCTTTGAAGTATAAATAAGCGTTTGTTTCTAACTATCAATTACAATAAGGAGTTAGTACTAAATTATTTTTTTGAATAATAAAATGTCAAATCAGTGAATTATTTTATTTTTTTATTTTTTATTTTTCACTCTTTTATATCGTTTTTGGCTCTACTGCAATAATACCATAATCATCACTATTGTGATCTTCAAGTGTATTACTGGTTTAGCCTATCTTCTTATAACAGATATATACGTATTAATGACGTATATGGGTTTTGTTGAATGGTTGGCAGTCGGTATTTGTGTATTTCTTGTTATTTACTTCAGACGAACACGACCTAATTTAGAACGTCCTGTCAGAGTAGGTGGATTGTTCATATTTTGTTTTTACGGTTTATATCTATAATAGCATTTATTAATATTTATTAGATAATGTATTTAAGATTTCTAGTTACGATAAAATTTAAATTTTCTAGTATTGGTTTTATAAGGATTTTGTTTGATTTTATGGAGGATTTCACTATGAGCTGACATCAGTTAGAGAACCACTGGAAAACCAGCTGAGAGCACTGGACAGCTGTTTCGTCCTGCGTCAAAAAAGACATAGTGAAATGGTCGCGCTATGTTGTGAATTTGCAGAAGTTAGAATTCAAGAACCATTGGATCAAGTCCCAGTGACTTAACGGTCTACAAGCTCGCTGGTCTTGTAGCCAGAAGGTCCTGGCTCGAACCCTATTGGTGAGTACGTACTGCTGGAGAGTCTCAAACTAGTCTGGCGAAACAGCTGTCCAGTACTCCCAGGTTTTCTAGTGGTTCTCTAACTGATGTCGACGCATGATGAAATCCTCCGTGCAATAAAATTTTAAATCAAAGAAGAATATAAATAAAGTAAGCAAAGTTTTATTTATAAGCCAAATTCATTACAGTCTTACAGAAGGGTAAATCACTAGGCCGTATGGCTCAATTGTGACCTTTCTGACTGGAGCACGAGGTTATATGGGTTCAAATCTCTCTGTGTGTGTGGGTGAGGGGAGGAGATGAGTTCCCTCAAGATTTTGGACAAACCTTGCTGATGACTGTCAAGAAGCACAAAATATGCAACCATGGATGGCTTCATGCCGATTGACTACAAACGTCTAATATCAATTTCTTATTCAAGCTCTACAGTTTTAAATCCATAAATATCAGAAAATGTATTGAGGTACAAGTGTAAGATGAAATAATAGTTAGTTGGTCTGCATTATCTTCTGAATGCATATAAAACCTTAAGTCATCAAGAAACGTGAATAACAAATAAGTGAAATACTAGGGTATTTATAATCAACCAAATATGTTTCTGCGGCGGTGCGAGGCGGGACGGTGGTGAGTGTGAGAAATATGAATGTTAGTTTGAGAGCTATCAAATTTTCGACTAAAACATTCCTTATTCTGAATTTAGCATGGAGATATTTAAATTTTCTAAAGTTGGCAATACTAACCATCTATTTAAATCTCATTAAGAAGCATTGAATTTTCAACTAATGACTTACCAGATGAAAGGTAAGTGACTATTTGGAATAATAAGGATAACCACATTCAAATTATATCACATGTATCCATGATTCGGTTGTTGAGTGCTTGTCAATTGCACAGGTAGCTCTGGATCTTTCCCTGGCCACTGCACTTCTAATCCTTGCATAGATGATGGTGCGAACTCTTTTTGAAGAGGGAAGGTTGGTCACGAGGTTAACAATCCCACTTCGTAAAGCAACACTACCGCTACTGAAGTTTTAGAACTGAGGCTGGAACCTCTGTGTTCCACTCGGAACAGAAAATGAATTAAAAAAAACAAGATTACATCCCAGAATCTCTAATATTATACAAATAAATTGGTTTTACAGTTTAATTGGTGGATGGGGACTAGCGATGGAATCCAAGATGTGCATTTCGTTCCATTTGGGACTCGTCATCTGGATGTACCTGCATTTCTCAGTGAGTGATGATGTTCTCACCGAGGCTCGAACCCGGTGCCCATAGTTTCAAACCCCAAAGCGTTATCCACTAGACCAATTGGGCCACGAGAGCCACCTCTTTTGCAACGGGTCATATGAATTTAATTGAATTTTAGATTTTCCCACCGACTGATTGGACCGAACTGCTAGGCCTCAGGTTGACATGTTGGCCTCCTGGATTTCACTGCTTGTCACCATCCACCAGTTGAATACTAATATAATGCTCAGACATCGTCGAAGCATCTGCACAAGAAGCCGACACGTCAACCTGAGAGCGAGCACTTCGGTCCAGTCAATCGACGAGAAAATCAAAAATTCAATTGAATTAGGTTTTACAGTTTGTTTGCTTTTTTATTAGAATTTCACACATTATTTTACATGTCGTTGATTAGATTTGGCATTTATAAAAAAGTAAATATGAAATTAATATTACACAGTATTTACGTTTCACTTTAATAAAGATAATTTGCTAATGTATGATTTTCATTGCTTTATGTATGCCTATGCATGTCTCCATTCTAGGTTCCATTGTTCTTTGTATATACATATTTGATAGTTACATCATTGCTCATACTGTTTACATTTATTGGTGCACCGACTGAATCACGTAAGTACTTGTTTTTATGTGTGTCGTGATGGTTTCTCCATTGAGGATGCATTCCGACAGAGACTCTCATTTGTCTTACAAAAGTACTTTACTATTTGATAATATAAATTGCACGCCAAACTTGCAAGTACTCAGTGTTCGTCATATTATTCTCAGATATATGAATTTTGAATGTTGAATAGTCTTTCTGTAGGTAATAAAGTCAAAATACCATCACATATACTTCCGAGATGTTTTCACACTTATTTATGAGAAATTAAAAAGAAATGATGTAATTAGCAGCTTTGTGTGACCTGACGATCCGTTTAAAAACATGGCGATGGGTAGTTATACAACATTACTCTATCGAACGTATTCATTAACTGCCTAACAGACATATCCGTGAATCGTTTTTCAATTTATATGGCTATAAAACTGACTCGTGCTTTATTCATCATTTATATTTCAAAAGTCAGCTGAACTTTTCTTCAGTCCTATTGAGTTTAATCTTTTCACTTATTATGCCACAAGAACATTATAAATTGTTCAGGTAATGTCGGGATTTTGTCTAATTGCGTGGAGGATTTCATCATGAGCTGACATCAGTTAGAGAACCACCGGAAAAACTAGAAGTACTGGACAGTTTTTTTCATCAGCCTAGTTTGGGACTCTTCATCAGTACACACCCACCACAGGGGTTCGAACCCAGGACCTGCTGGTTACAAGGCAAGGTCGTATACCATTGAGCCACTGGGACCCGATCCAATGGTCGATGAATTCTAACTTCTGCCAATTCACGACATAGCGCGATCATTTCACAATGTCTTTTTCGATGTGTTACTGCCTTATCTTCAACCTGCTGAACTCTACTGGTCACGGCTTCCCACAAGAATCCCGAGTTAACTGCCTGAATAGGGCCAGTCGCTAGTGAGCATCAGATGCTGAAGAGTCCCGAACTAGGACGAAACAGTTGTCCAGTACTCCCAGCTGGTTTTTCAGTGGTTCTGTAACTGATGTCAGCTCATGATGAAATCCTCCATGCAATATTAGAAATTGTTATTTTATAGTCTTTCAAATTATGAAACTCTTAAATATAATTTAGTCCATTTGGTTTGTGCTTATTTTGAACTCATCTTTAATTTGCTGAGGTTAAGTAGTGGATTAACAATAACAACAACTGCTACCCTTTTTCAAAACAGATTCAGTTAGTTTCTGGTAATTTAAAGAAATATTGAAGTAATAAGTGAATGAATGAATTAATGGACGTTATACCTCATATTTATTGAAATTGTTATAATATCCATTACTCAACAGGGAGCTATCATGCCACAGTGACCCATTAGATAACGCCTTACAATTTAATAAGATGGGTGATGGGTTTGAGTTTCCGTGAGAATACTGTCACTTACTAGGAAGATAGCAGGTTATCCTCATGAATCCTGAATAGGATGAGCTGCATTACTAGCTATCATCAATCAAACAGCATCAAGCATGGTTGAAGGGAGATTGACATCACTCTAGTTATAAAAGTATGGAAATGGTAACCCCAGAAGAAGTAGAGAAATGATTATCCTTAATGTAGTGACTGACTGATGTTGACAGTATGTCGGGTTAGATTTCCCATTTAACATTTGAATTTATAAAGTTAAATTTATTTTGTTAGCAGATAGTTATTTTGTTTTCTTTGAGCTTATCAATAATTAACTTGGTGGATGGTGACCGGTAGTGAAATCCACGATGCGTATTTAGCTCTTTTTAGAACTTGTTAGTTGGATATACCTTCAGCCCCTAGTGAGTGATGATGTTCCCACTGAGACTGGGTCGTTTCACTAATTTTTTTTTTCAAGAGCTGGATTCCACTACTGGTCAGCATCCACCAAAATGACATCATGTTAATCTTCAGATATCTTCAAAGCACCCGTATAAGAAGCCGACATGTCAACAGAGACTGAACATTTAGAGGTGATGTAATCAAAAACAAACTTAAAAACAAATGATTTTCCGCACGTAAATTATATTTGTAAAAAATTATATTTGGAAAATCTCCCAAAATAATAATCATACGATTTATTGCAGCTTGATATTATTTTATAAGGTGAGAGTTCCATTGGAAACGCCACTACTTGGGTATAAACATATCCAGATGACGAGGTCAAAATGAGATGAAATGTTCGTTCTCGACAATAAAGTTAAAAATTGGTTTATTTTTAAACAAAGAGTTATCAGATATTTGTAAAAGATTATATTTGCGAAATCTCAGCAAAATTGAAATGAGTAATTCCACCGTTTCGCTCGGCAATCTGGTCCGAACTTCTTCAGGAAAATTAATCGAAGTTAACATAACAGAGGTTTACGTATAAAAGGAACATCTCTTGTTTTTAAAAACTTTGTCTAATCATGAATCATGAAACAGGTATTAAAATGTATAATAAACAAAATTGTATGAGCTGTGATCAAAATTTTGACCACGGACTTACAAATATCGGTCTACCTTTGTTAAACACTTTAAACAGAATGTGTCTGGGTGTGTGGGTAAATAGTTGTAGAACATTTGTTAACGTCTCCATAAGAAGATATAGACAGTCGGGAATTTTGACCAAGTATTAATAATTAATTTTATTTTTATATATTCATTTTTTATTACAGCTTGATACCACACAGTACTTTTTGGTAGAAGTATGGAATTTTCAGCATGTGATATCGGTAGCCCAAATTTAGCAGGCCGACCATTGATATCAGGTATGCGTCGACAGGGTATCGAACCTCGGACTATGTGCATGGTCGGCGAGAGTCCTAACCACTGTGCCACCGACGCGCAAAAAAGCCGGCAATAATCGGTATTTCCAGCCGGTCACCTATGCAAGTACTAACCGTGCCCAACGTTGCTTAACTTCGGTGATGGGACGAGAACCGGTGCTTTCAACGTGATATGATCGCCGACGTGATACATATCCATTTTTTTTATTTATTAATCAGGATTTTTGCCATGTATCATCTAACATCACACTTTAATGTCTGTTCAAACTGTCAGCATCTAGAATTTTATGATTAGACGTACTTTCAAAATTATGGTGTTTCGGATTAGAGCTTAGTTTAAGCATCCTGTCAAACTTATTGATTTGTCTTCATTTTTGAAGATTGAGCTGCTTTATTCGACCTACTGGAGTTGTCAGGTTACTCGACAGATACGGATTTAGGATATGCATTCTGTTGCAGACAACGGAGAGTGGAAACACGATGATTGTGCCAATTACCTAGTTTCTTTGTTAATTTAATTCGATTGCATAATAATTTTTAAATGAACTGTAGTCAAGATTTGACAGAATAGTTCTATAATATTTGGGCGCCGAGTGAGAAGTAGACATTTGTAAAAAAAAATACATATTTGTAAAATCTCAACGTGATTGAAATGAGTAATCCCAACGTAAATTATACCTTTATTTTCATTTTTCTAAATATCTATTTTTTTAGTTATGGGAGTAATTATTATTCTAACTGGGATCCCTGTATATCTTGTCTGTTGTGTATGGAAGAATAAGCCAATAGCATTTCAGCGTGCAATATGTAAGTTATATTCATGGTATCATTACAGAAATAATTTTTTAATGTTAAGGATTCACATTTTGCTAATACCTGTTATCAATGGGATACTAAGTGATAGTATCTTTACACATTGCGAAATAGTGAAAGTTGATGCGCTTGCTACTGTAGACCTTTATTCACTGAAAGAACTGTTGCGTAATTTTAGTCAGACTCAGAGTTCTTTATTACAAATTTCCATGAACACGTCGCCTTACACTGCGAAGGAATGTCTAGCACTCCCTAGATTTCAGTGATTTTCTGGATGATGTAATGTAGTGGTTACAAATATTTGAAGTCTCACAATTTTGGTGATGCGATTGCACTATCAATTTGGAAATTTCATACTTTCCACAGGGAGAACAGGATTTACAATTCTAGAACTACAGTTACGTCAGTCGGGGCTTTTGTAGGGTCAACAGACTAACAATGCGAGCCACAAAAAGCATCTCCAACAGGCTGCAGATGTCATCAAGAGCTGACTTCGCTTGCTCCATGCTGAAGATTAAACAACTGATTAGGAAGGCTAAGTAACGGGAAACTCCGTTATGCAAAGAACCTACCAAAAACCTATTGTAGAAGGAAATGAAGGGGAGACTGTTGAGTGACGTCATCCACCAAGCAAACCCTCAAGCGGAAACCCACCAGTAAACGACGAGTTGGACGTGTGTCCAAGGATGACGTGGAGGAGTAGACTCAATCAAAAAGTGCTGCAGAGAACAGGATAACTGGAAATGTGCTTTTGAAAACCTATGTTCCTCTCGGAGAATAATAATAATATAATGGTGATAGAAACCTTGTGAGTGAGTTGAGTTGTAATCTGAATTAAAAAGACATTGAGAAGGGATGAGAAATGTTGGCGAAAGCGGATTTCCGATGTAATGCGCTATCTTCGGCTTACATCTGGATTAAAATACAAATGCCTGTGTTACAGTCATGAAGGCGTTTGAAATAGTTGAATATAAATGAAGAGAACAGTACTCCTCTTTGCATACACACAAACTGTACGTAGGATTTTCTGGGTTACAAACCAGTCAGCAGCAAGCTTTATACCCTAGTCCTTGTAAACTCGTCATTGTCCAGCAAAAGAATACAGACCTACAACTCATTTTCAGATCTTTCTGTTAACAAGTAGTAGTTACTAACGAAATTTTAACCCAGTCTTAAACAGTATAGGTGTTATCACATTCTTTCGGAGGTAAAGTTTTTCCCTTTCGGAACTGACTGATGTGCGTACGGATGACGATGAAGATGCGTGAGCTACCTGAAAGATAGATACAGATATAGAAAGTATAAAAAGCATTTAAGATTTCTGTTCATAGATGTCCTTTTACCACTTTTCGAAGTGGTAAAACTGTAAATTACAGTTTAACAATGTTGGTTTGAGAAATCAATTCGGTTGTTAACTGGTTCTAGTAAGTTGAATATATGTTACGAATCCTGAGCTGCTTCTTTCTCTGATAAGTAATATTAGCTGTGAACTAACTAAATGTGTGTGTGTGTGAATTGGCTATAATTTATCTAGTAGATGTTATCAAAATGTAGAAAACCAATGATTTAGGCTGCGTGCCAACATAGTTTGAAATTATTTAAGATAGTGAAAATGTTTCCACCTAATCATCCTCCAAGTTCTGAACACCCCCAGTAATAATCGTTTAATTACTATTCTTCTGCACACAGTAATTCACACCTGGCCATTATGGTACTATTCAATCTTGGTTTACTTCTTTTTGTGTTCAATTTTGAATTTTGGAAACTTTAACCAAGGCAATTCAACGCTATATCACTAGTCTTTCCTCCTTATTGCTGATGGATTTCAGAAGTCACTAAGCATTGGTAGTATAATGCTTTCTATATAGTGACTCTGTTTATCCAAGGCAAAGCACTATGTACATCAGTGTCATTTCATTTAGTGCGTCGGTGGCACAGTGGTTAGGACTCTCGCCGACCATGCACATGGTCCGGGGTTCGAGCCCTCGCCGACAAACACCTGATATCTATGGTCGGCCTGCGAAATTTGGGCTACCGATATCCATGCTGAAAATTCCATACTTGTACCAAAAATACGGTGTGGAATCAAGCTGTAATCAAAAATAAAAAAATAATAGTTAAATGGTATTACAGGATATTTAGACTATTTGATTTGGTTACTTGGGCTTTGAGGTGAAGTAAAGACAGGAGTAAGACAAGGCTGCCTACTATCGCCAATGATTTTCCTGATTGTGATAGATTAAATAATGCGACAGACAACGGGCAATGAGGAAACAGGCATAAAATGGACTCACACAAAAAGAGACTTGGAGGATCTGGACTTCGCCGATGATATATGTCTGATTTCCCACAAACTGGAAGATATGCAAGTGAAAAGGAACAAGTTGGCAGAAGACGCACCCACAGAAGATAGGCCTTCAGGTGAACATTGAGAAAACAGAGGTGATGAAGATATCTGGCCAACAGCAATAGCAGCAACAACAGACAACAATCAGCATAAATCGGAGGAACTTGAAAGAAACAACCTCCTTTACCTACCTGTCTGGGAAGCATCGTTTCAACTACAGGCGGAACTGACGAGGATATCAAAGCAAGAATTGGGGAAAGCAAGACAAGCCTTCGTTACTCTCAAGTCTATGTGGAGGTCAACAGCACTCAACATGAAAATGAAAATAAGATCCGGATTTTCAACTCCAATGTGAAGTCAGTGCTACTCACTATACGGATTAGAGACTTAGCCAGGGCGTCATGAAGAGCACCTCAAACAAACTGCAGACCTGCATTAACAGCTGCCTCCCTTCAATACTCAAGATCAGATGGCCGACCAGAAAAGGTCAGCAACAGGGATCTCTGGCAATGAGCGAACCAACCAGGAACCGATTGTGCAACAAATAGGTGGGAAGAAATGGAGGTGGATTGGATTGGCCATATTCTGAGGGTACAATCCATCAAGTGACATCACTAGACAAGCCGTCGCTCGAGCGGAACCAGGCCGAAAGGGAGGCGGCGAGTTGGTAGTCAGTGCAAGGGTGACTTGAAGGAGGTCATGTGAAGAGGTGATGAGAGCGTATGGGGAGACTTGGAGCGGGGTGAAAACGTTGGCAGGAAACCGAACGCAATGGAGACGTTTGGCTGAAGCCCTATGTTCCTCTGGGAATCTAATGAAACAATAATAATAATAATAATAATAATGAGGCGATAAGGAGACCACCGAGTGACTTCACGGAGCAGGCAAGTCTTCGAATGGGAAACGATGAGTTGCACATGAATCCCTGAGTTATCATGGAGGAGGTCATGTGGAGGAGGGAATGAAAACTTGTGGACAGTCGTACAGCCAGCTAAAAATAAATGCAGAGAACAAAGTGAAATGCGGATGTGCTAGTGAAATACTACGTTGGAACCGGGACCCCAGGGAATAATAATATCATCCAACGATAATTCGATCACTTGCATCAATTTCCATTCGAGAAATTGCTAGCGAAAGATTATTTCTTCAACAGTACACTTCTATTCCTCCCGACTGCGTATATATAGTTCTTCTATTACATATCCTTTCTCATTACATTTTCTCTTTTTTTGCTTTTTTCTAGATAATATAAGTTTAGGTACACAGAAACTACTGAACGTGGTTCCTGAAACTTAAATACTTCAAAGAAGTGATTTTCAAAAGGATCTTTAATGTATTCTTCTATTTGGAGCTATTATATATTCAAAACAACAGCTGACATGTTAAATCTTGTTCACTTTCAATTTGTGGTTTCACATCTTTCCACTGATTAACTACTATTAGAGTATATGAATTCTACAATACTGGACTGTTCACGGTTGTTTCGACGTTGAGAGATCTTTATTAGATTACTGTGTTTGTCATTCTGATTATTAGTAATATCTATTGTAGTATAAGTGCATATATGTATATTTACTTGACGTGGAGATGAAAAGATCTAAAGAATAGTTTATTATTTTCCCTTTAGACAAACTATTATTTTCTTGATATTTTTATTTTTATGTATATTTTGAAAGTACCCTCTATCTCTGATCGATTATAAGCATTCATTTCATTAGTATATTGGAATTTCCCCAATGTGCATCATAATATCAGGGTTTTACAACATGATATCTTATTGTATTCCACTTTTTAAGCCCTGTTGTGTGTCTTTTCTTGGAGCTGACCAACATTTTTGCCTGGAAATTCAATTTGTGAAAGTGATGTAGGAGAACTGACAAAGCTATTTATTCGTTTTATTTTATTGTTTATTTGATGACTAGGGATTTTACCAGTCTTACATCTCATATATATATATATATATATATATATATATATATATATATATATATATGTAGCTTCAACACTTACATAAGATGTCTTCCTTAAAGGAAGTGTACCTGTACCAATGACTACTTGTAAATAAATGTTAGTAGTTGATGAAACAAATTGTTTTTTCACTAAATATTAAATGAAAAAAATGATTTCTTTAGTTTGGTTTGCAAGGGTTAGTTTTGTTTTTATGAGTTGATCACGGATTGATATCAGTTAGAGAACTATTGAGAACCAGCCACAGGGAGTACTGGACAGCTGTTTCATCCTAGTTTGTTTGGGGTCACGCTAAATCACGAATTAGTAGAAGTTAGAATTCATGGGCTGGCCACTGAATCGCGTCCCATGGGCTGAATGGTATACGAGCCAACCTGACTTGTAACCGGAAGATTCTGGGTTCTAACCCTGATGGTGGGTGCGTACTGGCGATGATTCCCAAACTAGGATGAAACACTCACCCTACATCCATTTAAGGCTCAGCACGACGACCAGTCGTCTAACGTGGTAACCATATTGCTAATTTAACTAATAGAATTCAGTCTGCACCAATACGAGGTACTAGACACACAACACCGGTAGGTCCGTGGTGACCATCCAATATACAGCGTAAAACAATTTGTACATAATGGAAGCTATGATAAATGAATTTATCTAGTTCATTACCACAGTTTTTACAGACTATCTCAGTTATAAACTTCTCTATGAAGAAGATTTTTATTTGAGAAAAATAACAAGAGATGCTATCTGTAAATTACAATTGCAAAAGGTTCACAAATTTTCTTGATGGTTGAGAATTTCAAAGAATCGTTAAATTTTTACTAATCTATTATTCCTGTATCAGTTAGAATAATTATTCGCAGTTATACGAAAGCCATCTCTCCTACTGGTCCATCTGCTACAGATGTTTAAAGCTTGTATCTTACTGTGCTGTCATACGCTGATTGATTAATACCCTTCGTGTGATAAATTAAATAACTTTTTTTATAGAATACGTTCATGATGTTACATTGTTGTGTGTGTGTGTGTGTGTGTGTGAAATGTACGACAAATCTCATTGGCCGAAAAATCAAGATTAATACATGAGCTACTTGTCAGTAGTTGAAAAAATTAATTAAATATTCAGTGGGCTACAGCTTCCCAATAACACTTGTCACAGGATACCCAGTTTTCGTGTGACTATCGTCAAACGTTTAGCTATCTGGTATACACAGGAAAGCGGCTCGGGGGAGTACAGCTTACAGTGATTGGCATAAATTGAAAATTTTGTGATATCTGCAATTCCAGAAGGCGGCTTGGATTACATAATTTTCTACAGCGCACAATGAGTCAAACTCTCAGTTGTGCTCTGTTTTAGCCATCTGTTTAAGTTCTGGAAGAACAATTCTTTGCAGATTGGACAAAGTTCCACCATATAATATACTGTGAATAACTATTTTACCTGAAGAATTTGTATAAGGAGTAGGTAAAACCAAGCTGGAATTTTGTACCACTATATGAACATGTTGAAAATAAAGCTATTATTATTATTAATTAGTATTTAAAACGTTTGTGAAGAAAATATATCAGAATTATTAGTTTTTTAAGGATCTATCTGGTTTCAAGTTTGACTACAGAGAGAGCCATTGAGAATCAGTGAGTACCAGACGACTGTTTCTCCCTAATTTGTGACTCTTCAGCGGAGCGCTCTAATGAGCTCACCATGGTCCTGGGACTGTAGTCCTAACTAGCTGGGTCCGCCTAGTTGGGTGTGTAGACACATGCTCACCGATGATATTGGCTGGCAACGGTGCTGAACATCGCAATGGTAAGGAATCAGCTTTGGTTAGCAGGGTGAAAGTAGTAAATAATAACGAAAGTTGTACATACTGCCAATTCGAATTTAAAAAAATCCATCCACTGTCATCTTATATCATAATATTGTCTCTCCCTTAGAAAGAGGTATCAAATATGTTTGATATGCCTTCCTAGATAACAAATCTGCCTTCGAATTTGTGCCTAGGCCTTTTTGTTGAAAAAGCTTGCTGCATCATAAGCACAGTGATGGATTACCAAGTGGTTGCATTCCTGTTTTTTCTGATAGGCAGCAGTACACAATAGGAAATCCTCTACTTACTCTAGCTGGTGTCCCTCAGGGAGCTAAACTTTCTCCTCTTCTGTTTTCCTTCTTCGTATATGATTTTCCCCATTTTGACGAGGCTAATTTTGTTAAGTTCGTGGATGATCTGACTGTTGCTATGCCTATTACTCCTCCGTCAAACTGTTCCAAAATGAATTACCTTTTATCAGAAATCAGTCATTGGTCCTCGTCAAATGGTCCTAAGCTTAATTCCTCCAAATGTCAGGTTGTTAATTTCACTTTCAGACGCAAGGGCGACTCACATGAACTGGTTAGTTCGCACGGTTCCTCTACCATAAATGGCACTGAAGTTGAAACCAAATCGAATGTTGTTAAATATCTTGGACTGTATATTCTGTCTGATCTCCTTTCCTGGTCTTCGCACATTATGTTAGTTTCCAGAAAGATATTTCGTTTGACATTCTATGTAAGGAAGTTAAGACAACCTGGTATCATTCCACCTCTACTGTTACCGTTTGTTAATTTTTGGTATTCTGCCTATGCTTTTTTACTGTTCCTCTTTAATCTTTCCCGGGCTATTTGAGGAAGATTTTGTTATACTAGGAAGGACAGTAAAAGCCATCAGAAGGGCTAAACCATCACTGTTGTGGATAGCCGCATGGACTCCTGGAAGAAATCAGCAAATACTGTCTTGTGAGACTTTCAGCATCCTCTCCATACACAATTCTCTTTCTTGCATCTCATCAGGTAGAACTGGAAGCACCTATAGAAGACCATATGCTCGGACAACGAAGTACAAAAGCTCTACCAGACCCTATTTAGCACAAATTGTATGTAAGGAGAAAAGTGTAGGGAGGGGAATTACCAACGTTAACAACATTATTAATGTAAACACCATGTTTTAATTACCCCTGTAATGAGAAAGTTAGATGCAATGCTTTACTACTACATGCTAAAAACTCCATATTTGTACCAAAAGTACTGTTTCAAAAGAACTGTTATTATTATTTAGTGACATAGCAGTAAAGGACTGTCATTCAAAACAAAAACACGAATAAACTGGCAAGATTATTTCCAGTGTGTAAGATCTTGATACACTCCATAAATTATAAAGCAAAAGTAGGGTGTATACCGAGTAACTGGACTGTAGGCTTAATAATAGTAATAATAATAATAATCTACTTTATTCCAAAAACAGTACTTATAATATAGAATGGAATTCTCAGCATTTGTCACAATATTGCATCTGATTTACTCAAAATATAAATTAAATTAAAACAAAGTTAAACAGAGAAATTTGTCCACATTCAAGATATAAAGTCAAAAATATTCGAAGTAGATAATAATAATAATAATAACAATAATAATAAAAATGAGTTTGTTTCGGACAGTATTGTCGATTCAATTTGAAAATTTTAGCATGTTATAGATTATTGAATCTAATGTTCTGTTCATACAGTATGCTGAGGGGAAATACAAAATTAACAGTTATAACACAGATTAAGTGATGTTTACACTTTTGAGAAAATAAACAAATAAAAACAGAAATTTGAGAGGATTATAAAAATAAGAAGTACAATAAAAATAAAGGTTGATTTTGTAAGGATGGAGGAAATGGCTTATTTAGTAGTGCGAAGGTTAGTTGGTTCATACCTAACACTATTTTCATCACATAAAGTACGTGCTAAATATGGTATAGCGGAATTTTTATACTGAGACGTGCGTGCATAAAGTCTTCTTGTTTCGCCTTAGGAGACACAAGTTTGAAGCTGCGGGCAAAGTGGATGTTAACAGTGTGAAGTAATTCCTTTAGCGAATTCGCTGCATGAAACCAATGACGATGTCAACGATATGGCCCAATGGGATACCACTCGCCCTACTGACAGTCTTCAGAATCCTACGAAGAATGACATAGTCTTTTTTAAGCAATCCGGGAAAGAATATGGGTGAACAGTAAAGAAAAATAGGTGAGATACACGAGTTGACAAACTGTAAGAGAAGGGGTTGGGTTATGCTTGAGTGCCTTAACTTCTTAATGTACAAAGTCAGAGGAAATATTCTTTTAGAAATCTCTAAGACATAGGAAGACCAGGATAGTTCAGAAGAAAGAATTAATCCAAGATGCTTAACTCTAGACTTGATTTCTATATCAGTATCATCAATTTTGCAAGGGTCATAGAAACCAACGGCTTCATTTAAATTTCTTTTACATCGGAAACTGAAGCTAGCAGCCTGGAATTTGGAAGGA